ATATATATATATATATATATATATATATATATATATATATATATATACACAAAGGTGTTTTAAACCCTTTCCACACTCTTGCAATATTCTAAACAATGTTTCTAAACTCTAAAAGAGCACAGCATGTCATGATTTCAGCTCCCTGCCTCCTCTGCTCTTTGCCACCTGCAAGCGCTCTTGGCCACGCCCACTTCTCCGTTCTGCATGGAGAACAGCTGATCAGCTGCAGCAGGAAGTTTATCCTGCAGTAAGGGCTGCACAAATGTGCAGAAGGTGCTAAATAATTTATTTTAAATAAAAATGATATGCCGAGCGTGCGGCTCATCCATCAGTCAGCCAGTTGTGTGTCATGCCCAATCTTATTTTGAAAAACCGCGATAGAGCGAGTCCGCGATAAAAGAACTGTGCAGTAGAGAGGGACCACTGTATCCAGAGCAGCACATGCACCAAGTCTATGATGGACACGATGTTTCCTGCAGACCAACATTTACACGTGACAAAGTTCTGGTGAATAACTGAAGCACAGATGGAATTAAAGCTCCTGAAACAGGAGCAGAAAGCTCTTCTTCAGCAGTCTTCAGAGGCTTCATTACGGTGCTGCTAAGTGTTTTCAGACTCGGCGCAGAAGAAAAACTGCTCCCGGAGGGACGATGGACAAGATGCTCACCTCTGTGGGCCAGGTGGACGGAAGAGAAGAAGAAAATGTCCGGATCAAAGCGGTAAAGTTTCCTGATTAGTTTGCAGAACCGAGCACATGTTGCTGCTCAAAGTTCTGTCGGGTTACTCGAGCACAAAAACACGTTGATCGAGATTCATGAACTGATCACGGGCTCGATAAGCTCAGCGTCTCCATCGCAGTCTGCTGCCACGTCAGTAAATATAAAGAAAGCGCACGGAAAAACGGTTGTTTTATTTGACGCCCACACGTTGAGGGGCGTTTTACAACGTTATCCCCTGGGGTGCTGATGCACTTCACCAGAGGTGGACAGAATCCACCCATGAAACCTTCGTGTCCTGTAAGCCCCACACCCTCCGTTACAAAAACACAGCTACGAGGATCTGTGCATGTTTTTCAACGCACCTCAGCGTCGGTTTGTTTCTCACACAGACTTACTCTGAAGGCGGTGCCCTCTTCGATGATGGTGGGCAGCTGAGAGAGGCAGATGTCCACGGCCAAGTCCCAGGCCTGCCTGCAGAGAATCAACACACACACGAACAGCGTTAGAATTATATCGTATACTCCGAGTGAGAGCCTCTAAAGTCGACGCAAATCAAAAGGTTGAATCTTAATAATTACTCACTTGTTTATTCAATAATACCAGTTTTTTAAAAAAAGTGACAAAATGACGATTACTGAAAAACAAGGAGGTATTAGTGATATGATAAAAATTAAACAAATGTCGTAGGATTATATTAATGAGTGCATGCATATAGTATTAAGAAAATGCCTAGAAATTAAAGTAAAGCAATGCATTAAAAAAAAATCAATGTAATGGTTATATGGAATTTTAATATGACAATCATGGTAAAAACATGTTCACACTGCAGAAAATAAAAGTGTGGTTTTATATTATTCAATTGTCCCGACATTCTTGGTTCGCCAGCTGTGGACGTTTAACTTTTTATTTTTTGCAAACCGTTTATGTGATATATGTTTTTAATATTTGGACTCCTCATACTGCAGTTTGGATAAATGTTCGATGTACTGTACAGACCTAGAAGTAATCCAGAAGTTCATTGTTACGACCTTAGCTGCTCCCTTCCTCAGGGGTCACCACAGCGAACTCTGTGTGGAGCAGAGAGCTGCCATCTAGGGTGCCTGGGGTGATAGATGGTGGGGGTTAAGGGCCTTGCTCAAGGGCCCAGAGTGGGACAAACGAGGGTAGAGGCAAGTGTGTGTTTCACCTTTCTCACCTACATTTTGATGTCAGTCCAGGGAGTCGAACCAGCGACTTTTCTAACCTCTGTGCCACCACTCCCCTCACTCATGTCTAATATACTGTTTTATAAAAGTATATTGAGCCTCAAAATTATGTTTATGTAAATCAAAGCTGTATATCAATTATTAACAGTTTAAACGAGGCCTGTCACGAAAAAAATTTTTGCTGGGTGATTAATTGTCTCAGAAATTATTGCAATAAACAATAATATTGTTTGAAATTTGACAATAATTAGTAATTATTGCCAAATTTAAGAATTGTATTTTTTAGTACCTTTATTGACCACCAGATGGCAGTATAAGACTGTTTGAACTGAAGGATGGATAGTGAGGGAGCGAGCAGCGTGTCTCTTAATGGAAAATGGGAGGGAGGCCCCTTGACGTGACACGGGCTGATGATCTCTTTCCTTTTTTTCGGTTCTCAAAATGGCGGACGCTCTGTGTGGTTTGAGCTCTTTAGCATAGCATTTTCCACACAAAGCTTTTAATTAAAAGATCAGTAAACAAGTTCTCAGCTTCTTTTTGCAGAGAAAAACAACTTTTTACACGAAGGCACGGGTTTCAACCGTGATGTTTGGACCTTCGGCAAGACGGAGGTTTTTTTCCAGAGGTCAACCTGTTAGCTTAGCTCGTAGCTTAGCTTCTCAGCTTAGCTGCTTTTAACGATCCAAAAACGCAATTTGGGACGGTTAAAACGGATTTTAAAGAGAAAAGAAAAGGGGAGGGGCCAGTGAAGAGCACCAGAGTTGAGCCTTTTGTCATCCAGTGTCTTCAGTAGAAAGAGAGAGACATGAAGAAATGATAAAGCCGATAAATAAAAATGAGATTGACAATTTTCATTTATCATGCGATTAATTGAATTGTTTATTGCGACAGGCCTAGTTTAAACATTTTAATAAACCTAGTTTCATACGTGTGCACTTCTCGACTTACTGATTAACCCGCATTAAAAAATGCTGCCTAATAGTTTATTTAGTTTACTGTTACCTTCCACTTATGACCAACAGCCAAAATATCAAAACAAAAGAACTAAATACCAAAACAAGAGTACCGTATATGACACGTTATACGCCCATCAACAAACTATTACACAGCAATCTATAACAATGGCCTGGACAAGAAAAGACCTTGAATAACCTTTGACCTTAAAGCGGGTCAATGAAAGATTACGTGACACGCTGTCCAGTCCAAGTACACACGTTATCAAGTTTCGTTAAATGATCTTGAGCAGAACAGAAGTTTTGATCCGGACGAGCAAAAACCTTGTTTTTAACTTTGACCTTGATTTGTGGCCTTGATATTGCAGCTTAAGTTAAAGAAAGGTGTAAGACACTAGCGATAACGCATATGTGTATGAATTTTCATAAAATTATCCCGACAGTTATGGACGTGGGGTTGTTTTATTGATCCAAGTATACGATAGTTGAGTTTTTCTAAACGACACTGCAGACTGACGTGACGGTGGAGCCCTGCTTGCCTGACACGTCATGATACTGGGAGTACTTAATAGCTTCAAAGTAACACTTTGCTCTGACTTAATCTTTTTTTTGGCAAACGTACAAATAAAGGGATTTCCCCCAAAAAGAGGCGGGAACACGGTAGAACTAGTACAAATGTGTAGTTCTACTCTATAGTACATTTAGATGCGGTTTCATTTTATTTTAAGCTTTTGTTCTACAACAAATGTTTCACGGATTTAAAAATACACAATTTATGTAGCAATAAACGCAGACCAACTTGGTCCTTGGTTGAGTTTTTCTCCTGTGTTCCACATCTTGAGATTCCATCTGCAGGTCCTGGAGAGGGCAGTGGTGAGTCTTTAATCCCCCTCTAGACTGAGGCTCTCCTTCCATGGTCATCATTTTTAATTCATGGGGTTATGCAACTCACATCAAACCTTATCACAGCTTCTCTTTTTACCATTCGTGCCCGGCTCTCTTCTCAGCCTTCTTCTTCCCGCTCCTTTTTCTTGCAGCAAGCTGAACTCTGAGCCTCGCCGGGGCTTTTTCCTCTCGGTTAGCACGAGTTAGGGGTTGATTCATGTTCCCAGTCGATGCACTGCGATGTAATGTGATGCTGAACAAACGACGCCGAGTTCACTCAGTCTGAGACTCTTTCTGCTGCCTAAATGGCTTTTCCCATTATCCCAGAGTGATATAATAGAGTTGCACTCCAGGTTGACAGCACAGTGCTAAAGATATAATGGACCCACTGATGAATGTGCAACATGAAAACATACAGTGGTGGAAAACATCGATGCCTGTTCCTGCAAATACAGCAGCAGAAAATAAAAAAAGCCCTTTAGCAGAAATACGAACCGTGAAAAACTGACTGCGTTATTAAGAGCAGGTGTCAGTTATCATGCAGGTGTTTGAATCCCGTAAACAATCTTACCAGAGAAAAATTAGACCTTAATAAAGTCACAATGCCAAATGCTGCAAAAATACTTATTCATATGCACATTTCATATTGTTTCTAGAAAAAAAAAAAAATCTAGGACTAAACCAGTGGTATGCCGGTGTCCCCCAACGCTGAGGGGTTTGAACAGTGAGTGTTTGTAGCTTTCAAGATTCCTGGACTGGAATTGAACAGGGAATGCAGTTAAACCTCAATGTTTATAGTGCAAGATATTCAAGTTGGTAGGAGCTACAGTGTGGAGAAGAACTGAGGTAGGTTTTCTTTTTTCTTGGCGAGATGCTGACAGGAAGAAGGAGCAACGTTATCCATGACAGGCGCTATGGAGGAGCCAGGGAGTGGCCAATGGTGGCATCGGCCACCATAGATTATTCTTCGGACACCCCGATCATTTGAGGAATCTAGATTTTTAGGCAATATAAAAACTAGAAAGCAGAGTTTCCTGCATAGTTTTCAGGGTGGTCAGTTTACATATATATGTGGTGGCAGTTGTCGACGTCTGGATTGCGTGCGGGAGGTGGGGGTTGGTTAGCTTAAAGTTATGTTTGTGTTGCTTGCAGTTTGGAGTCTGAGCTGAGTTGCTGCAATCTTTGTTTCCTGTCCGGAAGTGGAGGGATTTGGTAGGCAGGGGTGCCCTCCTTGGATATTGGTAGGGAAACACTGGGTAATGTCCATCTTGGATTTTGACGTGTCAAACCAATTTTCAATAGAGGCCTTTATTAAAGCTTACATACAGATACAAAATGGAAGTCAGAACCTCACTTATTTTTCAACTTATCCAGCCCACAAGACGGACGAACGGACGGTATTTCCAATTCCCCACTTCACACCATAATGGCCATGGGCGTCAGAAGCATCTGTAATGTGTGTGTGTGTGTGTGTGTGTGAGCGTGCACCAGTGTACAAAAAAAAAAGCAACATTTCATCTTGATTTCCTTACTTGAATTCCATTTAAATCACGTTTCTCACCAAGTTTGTGTGAATTCAGCTGTGGGTTTTAAAGACATTTTAACTTTAATTCACTTTAATAAAGAGCGTCAGGTCGCCACCATTTGATTTGTGTTTATAGAGAAATAAATAAACATCACCACTAGACATTTTTACTTGTGTTCAACACTACTCATCTAAATCGTGTTTCTCACGAAGCTCGAGGACAATAAGGTGTGGGGTTTTAAAGACATTTCTACTTCAATGCACCTGAACACACAGCGTCTCTTACATCTGCAGCGTCCAACAGCGTCAGTTACTGCTAAGCTAACATGCTACAGACGTGGCGCTCTACTTCTCTCAAGCATCCTCCTAACCATGTATATGTTTATGCTCAACCCCCCAGTCAACAACTGCCAGCACTAAGCTCGCTAAGCTGGTGAGCAACCTCCAGAGGTGTCTCCACCTCCTCCACCTGTGAGCGTTCTCTGCCAAGGCAGGAGGAGAGAGTTGGAGGTAACCAGGAAAACCTGGAGTGGACTTTTAGTGGTTTGAGTATTCTCCTATTAATCGAGTGGAATGGATTTGTTCACGAAGAAAGAGAAACTGTGCAGCCTGAACTAATTAATGTTTCATAGTAAAAGTGGTGGTGGGGGGGGGGGGGTCCAAATGAACGTTTTTTGAATGTGGGGGGACACGGCCCCTTCACATATTATGGTTGCGACGCCTATGGGGGACAAACATATAAGGTTTAATTTATGACTGTTGAACCTTAACAAGGAATAAAAAATACTGCTTACCAACATTCAGGCTCGTTTTAATTGTCAAAATTAACATTTGACCAAACAAAGATGCAGCAAATGAGATATGCAGTTGCTCTTTAGAGCCCTTAAGATTATTTAGTGCTCATCAAGTGGCGGGCGATACTGTTTTTGCTCATGTCTACGCGTGCGTTTTTGTGTCTGTCTTTTAGCAGAATATCTCACGAACTTTTGGAAAGATATCAATCACACTTTCGGAAACTAATCTGTGGGTTTACATCTATAATTGATAACCTTCAGAACCAATCTAGTTCAAGATGGCTGTCACAGACACTGACCTTACAAAACACAAAAATGGCCATAACTCGGTGAATTTAGCAAATATTGAGCTAAACTTTGATATGGTAGTAGCTGAGAGTCATTCCCGCAACATAATCTAAGCGCTAATTATTTCACAATTTATAAGTTTAAAACATCAGCAATAACTTTTGGTGTCAACTCTCTTCATCGTTAGTAAAATATCTAGACAGCTGCCACAGCCAACACAGAAATGGCGTTCGATCAGTTAATTTTACAGATATGACGTGGTAGTAGCTGAGAGTCGTTAACAACACATATTCTCCGAGCTAACTGATGCTTTTTCAAACTTTGCCATCTGTTCCTGGGTGATGAGATATTTTGTTAACGCAACAGAAACAAACATGGCGGGGATAAACAAATTCAGTAACATCGTGCCCTTAAAGTCTAAAATTTTAAACTTTTAAATTCTCTATACATTTTTAAAGACATTTTAGACTTTAGTTTAGAATATTTATGAAATTCTATTCATACAAAAACTAAATAAATGAAATAAAAAGCAATAATTGTTCATAATAAATAAAAACCTGAAAGTGTAATTTTATCTTGTATGAATGTTCACTGGATTTTTACAAAATTATTCACCAAATCCGGCAACAAAATGCAAATGTTTGGTTTCATAACTCAGAGGACGATGACTGGAATCGGCAGAATCTGCCAGCTCGTACTCTCCCTGCTGGTTTTTATGTAACCCAACGGCGTGAAAACGGGCCGACCGAGCAGCTTCATCGGCGAGGACAAACTCTCAGAGCGGAGGTCGCTACATGTCGGCGTTAACTCGCCTGAGAGGACCGAGGAGTGACTCATCTCCTGAACCGGTGTGCGTGTTCGGCGTGTGAAACGGCTGAGAGCTGGACCGTGCAGGGGACCATTTGGCGGCTGACTCAGCTCTTTTCTCCAGTTTCCTGCAGGGAGCGGTGCAGCAACAAGTCCTCGTATAAAACAGACTACTGGTGCTGAAAGGGCCCTCAGGGGAGTAATCAGCCTCGGGTTTATTTCTCCTGCCTTATTCTGCTCCGGCTGAGTAACAGTAGCCGTTTGTGTCAGAGCCCGAAATCAATCAGCGAGCCCTAAAATCACTGATTACCCCCTCCATCCTCTATGCGCCCGTCTGAGCTGCTCCAAACTTTGATTTTCCTATTTGCCTTTTATCTGCAGCATTTATTGCCCTCTGTTTTGTTGCCTGAACTCCTAAAGCACGTCTTTGTTTTTACTTTGTCCTAATTAATACTGCATGTGCTCTAACTTTCTTGGCTGGTTACCACTGAAAAGTGCCCACAGTGTAAAATAATGGGCCCAAACAAGAGAAACTGTTGTTTGCTCCAGGAGTACAGAGCATCAGAAGAGAAGGAGTCTTTATGACAATGTGCAAAAACAGAAACTGTAAGCCATTGAGGAAACAAGCCTGAGGTGTGTGCATATGTTTGAAGGCAGAAACATATAAGAACACCTACACATGCTGGCTCAGACCTCCTCTACACTGTTTATTTTGAGACGCTGTGAAGTGATTTTAAAATGGAAACAATAAAAGAGTATTTACATTCTGCATGCAGCTTTGTCCTCCTGCAGCACCGACTGTAAACAAAGGGCAGCGCTGTGACCGGCTGCACGTCTGAACTGCACCTCTAACGGCTCTGTGGGAGCAACGATCTGCAGATGCAACAAAAGTCAGCGCAGAGACGAGGCTCCAATCCAGATATTGATCTTTGTCTTCACCTTGGCTTTGTTGACTCAGAAAATGGAGGTGAAAGAAGCGGGGATGCTGAGCTCAGAACCAAAACCATACTTAGACGGGTCAGTTGCATAAAGTGGTTTATTGTTTCACTGTTTGCTTGATTCTGAGAAAATGTGATGAACGTTCTGTCGTCTGCAGCAGATCATGAAGGATCTACATGCTGCAGATCATGAAGGCCCTACATGCTGTAGATCATGAAGGACCTACATGT